GAAGGGGAGCACCGGCCGCTCCGGACCTACTGCCCCCCTGACAGGAGTACCGGGCGCTTCGCCTCTTGCCAAGATGGCGGCCTCGAGCCACGTCTCCAACCGGAAACGGCACGGGTCAAAGGGCGGGGGGCGGGGCGCCGTGGAGTGGGAAGACTGTGCGCGCAGGCTGAGACGCTGGTTGTGTCAGGGAGGCCCCGGACTCGACCACCAGCGTGGAACCGGTGGCTTCTGTCCTTTCCCTGTTCGTCAGTGCCTTCGTTTAATTTGCGACGTCTCTTGCAGTTTATAAAGCTCTCACAGCCACTCTATCATTTGATATACAAAATAACTGTTGTTCATAAGGGACTAGTAGCCAGAATATGTAAAAAACTCTTAAAATTCAACAATGGAAAGACAAAAAATCCAATTTTAAAATGGCCAAAATAGCCATTTCTCTAAAGAAGATATACAAATGAATAATAAGCACATAAAAAGATGATCAACATCTTTAATCCTTAGGGAACTGCAAATCAAAACCCTGCTTCATACCCACTAGGATGGCTGTAATAATAAGTGTTGGTGAGAATGTGGAGAAATTAGAACCCTCATACACTGTTGGTGGGATCGTGAACTAGTGCAGCTGCTTTGGGAAGCAGTTTGGCAGTTCCTCAAAAAGTTAAACGTGGAGTTACCATGTGACCCAGCAATTCCACTCCTAGGTGTATACCCAAGAGAATTAAAAGCATACATTCACACAGAGATTTGTACACTAATGTCCGTACAAGCATTATTCATAATGGCCAAAAAATGGAAACATTCCAAGTGTCCATAACAAAATGTAGTATATCTACATAATGAACTATTAGTCACAAAAAGGAATAAAGTATTGATATATGATACAACATGGATGAACCTTGAAAATATTATGTTAAGTGAAAAATGCTGGTCACAGAAGACCACACTTTGTATGACTCCATTTATATGAAACATCTGGAGTAGACAAATCCATTGAGACAAGAAGTAGGGCTGCAAGGGACTGGGGGAGGGGAGAAATAAGGAATGAGTTTTGGTTTTTGGAGTGATGAAAATGTTCTGGAATTAGATAGAAGTGGTGGTTACACAGTCTCGTGAAATACTAAAAACCACTGAATTGTACGCTTTAAAAGGGTAGCTTTTTATGGTAAATTATATCTTTTCTTCAAAAAAATGTGTAGGAAGCAGGGCAGTTACTGTGCTTATGTCCATTTTGTAAATGAAGAAAATGATGACAAGTTTAAGAAATGTACCCAAACTTCTAGTTCTATAATGGAAACAAGATTCAAATCTGGTCTTCTGATTGTATGGGTAGTCTTCCATGCCAAATGTCAGACTTCTCAGATTATAAGTGATTCAGCAGTTCTTCCCCACATTATTTTATGCCATGTTAGTGGCTCAACTGTTTATCCATTATTGCTGCAATAATGGATAAACAGCAATCTTTTATTTAGTGTTTATTTTATGTCAGGTACTTTACACGTATTATCTCTGATCCTTATACACAACAATTCAGGTAAGGACACTGAGGATCAAAAAAGTTAAGCATTTGCCCAAATTCATACAGCCAGCAAGTGGTAAAGCCAAGATGCAAACTCAGCTTTTCTCATCATGTCACACTGCCTCTCTATATCTCCTGTGTACTCCTTAATGGTTATTGAACACTTACAATGTACCGGGTGTTACTTCAAATTCTTCACACAGATTATTTTACTTTTTTTTTTTTTTGGTTGCACAGGGTCTTAGTTGCAGCGGGCATGTGGGATCTAGTTCCCTGACCAGGGGTCGAAGCCGGGCCCCCTGCATTGGGAGCACAGAGTCTTATCCACTGCGCCACCAGGGAAGTTCCCCAGATTATTTTACTTAATCCTCACAAGAATTCTCTAAGTACCATTAATACCTCCCTTTTGCAGGTGGGGAAACCAAGGTACAGAGAGGAAAACCATTTTACCACAGGTGTCAGGGCTAGAAAGTAGCAAAGCCAGGATTCAAACAAAGGCTGCTCAACTTCACAACCTGTACCCTTGAGCACTGCATTATAGAATTCTCTCTCTTACTCATTTCAATTCCATTTCCAGTGGCTTTCTAGTAGAATCTTTACAAAGCTCGAAAACTTTTTTTTCTATTTTAAAAAGAAAAGAAACAAAGACCAAAAATCTTTTCTTTAAAACTTTGTTTAAAATGGGTATAAATTAGAAATTATAATATTAATAAATCAAAGGCCCATAAAGAGCTTAGATATTTGTATACTGATAGATGCCCAGAGATTTTTATGCCAATTGGGACAATTTAATTTGCATAGGAAGGTTACCAATCAGCAATTTTCGATTTTTCTATTGTAATAGGATATTTTCCTTTACATGTACCCAACTTTTTAACATTAAAAAACTGTGCAGGAAGATAAGAACTACTAAGTACCTTTGTAGCTTAAAAAGATTAAGGACTTAAGCAAAGGGTTGAATTAGAATTGTTATTTTCCCCAAAGTATCCCTTCATAAATATGAATAAACACAAAAGTACATAATGAGGAAGACCATATTCAGAGAATCATTTTCTTAAAAACTCTATACACTTTAGATAAAAGGAATCAAGATTTAACCGGTATTAAATGAAGTCCCCAAAACAGTAACAGATGAAAAAAATTAAACCCACCATCGAAAACTTTTAAACTTTACATGTCTGGAAGGATATATATCAAACCGTATTGTTTATTTTTGTTATTAAAAACACACATTTTTTAAAAAGATGAATTTTTTTTTTTTTTTTTTGCGGTACGCAGGCCCCTCACCACTGTGGCCTCTACCATTGCGGAGCACAGGGTCCGGACGCCCAGGCTCAGCAGCCATGGCTCACGGGCCCAGCTGCTCTGCGGCATGTGGGATCTTCCCGGACCGGGGCACGAACCCGTGTCCCCTGCATCGGCAGGCGGACTCTCAACCACTGCGCCACCAGGGAACCCCCGAACAAATTATTTTTAAAATTTATTTTATTGAAGTATAGTTGACATACAATGTTGTGTTAGTTTCTGGTGTATAACAAAGTGATTCAGTTATATATATGTATATATATATATATTCTTTTTCATATTCTTTTCTATTGTGGTTTATTACAAGATATTGAATATAGTTCCCTGTGCTGTAAGTAGGACCTTGTTGTTTCTTCATTCTATATATAATAGTTTGCATCTGCTAATCCCAAACTCCCAATCCATCCCTCCTCTACCCTCCTCCCCCTTGGCAACCACAAGTCTGTTCTCTATGTCTGTGAGTCTAAAAAAATGAACAAATTCTTAATTTAAAAAAGTAAAAATTCTGCCTGGAATTATTGCTTTATTATGGCAACTTCCAGGGGCCTTCAATATGGACCACCAAAGTTCAGCAAGGACCAACTGATACTGATTCTTTGGAAATATGAAATTAGCTGAATTAAACTGCAGAAGAAAAGCACCTCTGCAAGCATGCTTCGTGAGGAGTGCCTTAGAGGCAGTATGTCACAGTGGTTAAAAGCAGAGACTTGGGAATTAGACTGACCTGTGTGTGACTCCCATTTTCTGCACTTACTGCCTGGGTGACTTTAGGCAAGTTACTTTAACTCTCCTAAACCTCAATTACCTAATCTGTATATTGGCAGTAACATCTATCTCATAAAGTTATGAAGTTAGATTACATATTAATAAATAAGATTATCTACTCTAAGTGCTCCTACATACTAAATGCTCAACAATACATATCCATTATTGTTAGCAATAACATGACAAAATATTTCTTAACGTTTTGCATTTCCCTTTTAACCAGAAGTGTCTCAGAAGAGGTGTCTCTTATTTCCCTTTTTAAAGCCAGTTTTCGCTTTCCTCTGGCAGGTTTTCATGATCAAATTTCCAAAATTCTTTTCTTTGTTTCTCTCCCTCTGACTCCCCAAATTAAGTATGTCTGTAGTTTTGAAATATTTGTTCCTTATATCTTCATTCATTCATTCCTTCATTCATCCACACAATGAGCATTTTGAAAGTGCCTGATTTATGCAATGCACTGATCTGTGAAAAGCTTATAAAACTAATTAGACACAGACCCTGCCCTAAAGAAGCCCACAGTCTTCTTTAGCAAATAAAAACGCGGGAGAGGGCTTCCCCGGTGGCGCAGTGGTTGAGAGTCCGCCTGCCGATGCAGGGGACGCGGGTTCGTGCCCCGGTCCTGAAAGATCCCACATGCCGCAGAGCGGCTGGGCCCGTGAGCCATGGCCGCTGAGCCTGGGCGTCCGGAGCCTGTGCTCCGCAATGGTAGAGGCCACAGTGGTGAGGGGCCCGCGTACCGCAAAAGAAAAAAAAAAAAAAACGGAGGAGAAGGAAGCAGCCACATAGCACAGGGAGATCAGCTCAGTGCTTTGTGACCACCTAGAGGGGTGGGATAGGGAGGGTGGGAGGGAGACTCAAGAGTGAGGAGATATGGGGGATATATGTATAGCTGATTCACTTTGTTATAAAGCAGAAATTAACACACCATTGTAAAGCAGCTATACTCCAATAAAGATGTTTTTAAAAAATGCAGGAGAATGGGTTAAACCTGAATCTCAGATAATGAATAATTTGATAGTACTATAAGTTATGTCCCATGCAATGAGACACAGTGGAGGGGAAGGACTATAATGTAATATAAATACTATAAAAGGTCGTACAAAGTGTCCTGGGAATTTAGCTAAACTTCCGAGTTTGCCTAAAGTCTGATTGGACTGACTTAGTAGGAATTGCATACCCAGTGCTCCTTGTCCTGGGGGAGACAGGCACACCGTATTTCCGGATTGGAAGGCTAACTCTATGCGAACCGAAATTCATCCGTCAGCTTTGCCGCCCCCGGCCGCTAGATGCCGCCACAGACAAATTTATTGAAACCCTAGACAAACAGGATCCGAGCCCCTCTAGATCCTCCCTGGATCCTTCAATGCTGGAAGAGACTTAACGCGCGAGTGGAGAAGGTCTCACGAGAGTGAAAGAAAGTATCGCGATTTTTTCTTTCTCTCCCTTTTTTTTTTTTTTGCTTAGCGACTGGAAAGGCCGGTTGCTCCGAGTAGAAGCGCTTGGCCTTCTTCCAAGTAGAAGTGGCCCGGCCTGAGATTCGAGTGAGACCCCAGCCCTAGGCTGGGGTTCTTTCCACATAGAGGAGACGGATTCAGAGGGGCTACAGGTAATTCGTACTCACCCTAGCAGAAAGAGATCTCTCTTTCTCCCACCGTAGAGGAATAGAAAGGACTCCCCTTCCCTCTCCCCTCCACCTCTTCCCATCTTCTTGACAACTGTTCTTTCCCTCCTTCCTTCACGCCATCACCAACCATCCTGCTTCCTTTACTCCCCAAGAAACTTAAGTGGGATCCGACATACAAGACGGGGGTGGTGTGGTGGGGTGAGGGTGATGCTTTCGGGATTATTGGGTGGGACCAAGAGGCTGGAGTTTACCCTGTCTTCGGGGAACGCCCCTCCCTCCCAGGTAACCCCAGAGACAGAACTCTTTCTAGAGCCTCTACAGCCTCCCCTGAGAAGCTCCGGCCGCCTTGCGAAACTGATCGAACCGGAGGAGACAGCCATTATCTATAGACAACTGTTTTGCCCTTGCGCGGGTATCTTACAGCTTTGGGGAGCTGCTTCAGAAGTTGGCTGTCGTTTCTCTCCACGATTCCCTCGTTCCTCAGCCAGCCTGCCAGCAGTTCCTAAATAAGGGCTGCAACAGAATGACTTAACTGCTTGACCTGGGGCCAAGAAGCCTTAAGGAAAGTTTGAATGGGGGGGGTATGGTGAAGGTTTCAGGTAAAACTGGTGTCTTCGGTAAGGAAGAGGAACCAATGCTGGTTTGGAATCCACCTCCCCACAGAGTGCTTAATGTCCCGTGATAGGAGCTCTGTAATCATATTTCCTTTTGCTTAGACCAAGACCGTTGAAAACCAGACATATGATGAGCGTCTAGAGATTAACGACCCTGAAGAGGTTGCGAGTATTTATGCTCCAACCACAAGACACAAAGGTAAGAGAGGCATGAAGAGGAAAGAAAGAAATGGTTGTTTTTTGTTTTTCTCTTTGTTTTGTTTGTTTTGCAATTGTAAGTCAGCGGTTACTAAAAACAAACCAAAATTTGTAAAAAAATAAAAAATCTCCAAATAAACCATGAGAATCAAAACTGATCTCACATGAATGACATGTAGCTTAGAATGACATGTAGCTTAGAACTTAGCCGTACTTTCTTAGAAACAGAAACAAAACAATTGTCTATTACCACATGGAGAATACGTTTGACCCTGGTAGGTACTGCCTTGAGGGTTGCCGGATGGATTCATGATTGTCCCCAAGAATTTTCTATTTTCTATTAGCAGATGTTGGCTTTCAGAGTCAAGTTACTTGCCATTGCTTCTGTTTTCCAAATAGTTAAGGGGGGAGAAAACACAGCCACCCAGATTGCAGGATCTTCCATCAACCTAACCAGTGTTCCCCATCGCCATTTACTTCATGATACTGTTCTGCCCACAGTCTGCCGGGGGTTCATGTTTGTTTGTTTAATTTATCAAAACTCTTTTGCTCAGTTCTGAAGATGCTTCAGTTACCTATCCTTAACCTGCAATTCCAATTGAAACCTCAACAGAATATTTTTAGCGGACTTGACACCATCATTTGTTCAACAAACATTTTTTGAATGCCTATTATCTGTCAGCCTTATGCTTGGCACTACGTATACAGTTTTTTGTTTGTTTCTTTGTTTTGGCCATGCCGCGTGGCTTGTGGGATTTGAGTTTCCCGACCAGGGATTGAACCCAGGTCTTCGGCAGGGAGAGATCAGAGTCCTAACCACTGGACCGCCAGGGAATTCCCAGGTATACAGTATTAAAAGAGGCATTGACCCTGCCATCCTGATGCCTGTAATTATGGGAGACAGATGCCAAATGAATAAAGAAACACAATTACAAATGTGTTAAGTGCATTGATGGAAGCAAAGAGTTTGATGTTATGGAGAATACTGGTGAGGAGTGTGATCTACTTTTGATGGAGGGGTCAGGGAAGACCTAAGGAGGTGATGGTTGAAACTGAAAGGTGAGAAGGATTTAGACACAGAGGAAAAGTAGGCCAGGAAGAGGGAGCCGCTAGTGAAATGTGAAAAGGACCTGAGGCCAGAAAGAACTTGGGTTACTTTGAGGACTTGAAAGAGACCAGCATATGGTAGGAGAGAGTAACCTCAGAGGTAGTCAGGAGGTATAACAAGCAGGGCTTTAGAGGCCATACTGCTGTTATGTATGGCATGGATTGAAGGGTGCAAAGGTGAAAGCAAGGAGCCAGTTAGAAGGACTGTCGCCATGGCTGAGTTGAGGTGTGACAGTGGCTTGGATGTGGGGAGGAAGTTGAGAATAGAGAGAATTGGCAAACGCTAGAGGTATTGTTGTAGTAGAATCACTAAGACTTGCTGATGGATTGGATTTAGCTCTTGAGTTAGGAATCAAGGATGACATCCAGGGTTGTTTGTTTATTGTGGTAAACTTGCCTAATATAAATTTTACCATTTTAACCATGTCGAAGTGTACAATTCAGTAGCATTAAGTACATTCGTGTTGTTGCGTAAGTATCTCTACTATTTCCAGAACTTTTTCATCATCCTGAACAGTTATTATTAAACAATAACTCTCCATTCCCCTCCCCTCCCCCCCGCCCCCCAGCTGCTGGTAACCTCTATTCTACCTTGCCTCTATGAATTTACCTATTGTAGGTACTGCATAAGCAGAATCATACAGTGTTTGTCCTTTCCTGTCTGGCTTATTTCACGTAGCTTAATGTTTTCAAGGTTCATTCATGCTGTAGCATGTGTTAGAATTTCCTTCCTTTTTGTGGCTGAATAATATTCCATTGTTTGTATAACCACATTTTGTTTATCCATTTGTCTGTCGATGGACACTTGGGTGGTTTCCATCTTTTGGCAATTGTGAATATGCTGCTATGAACATTGGTGTACAAGTATCTGTTTGAGTCCCTGCTTTCAGTCTTTTGGTGTATGTATACCTAGACGCTCAGGTGTTTGTTTTTTTTTTAACCAGGTAATTGTCCTACTTATTTTTTTGTTTTAAATTTTTAATTAATTTTTAATTTTTTAATGCCTGTCATACATATTTATTTATTGAAGTATAGTTGATTTACAATGTTGTGTTACTTTCAGATGTATTGCACAGTAATTCAGTTATATTTATTTATTCATATATTCTTTTTCAGATTCTTTTCCCTTATAGGTTATTAGAAAATACTGAGTATAGTTCCCTGTGCTATATAGTAGGTTCTTGTTAGTTATCTGACACCCAGGTTTTTTGTTTTTGTTTTTTAATATTTATTTATTTATTTGTTTTGGCTGTGCTGGGTCTTAGTTGCAGCATGTGAACTTTTAGCTGCTGCACGCAGGCTTCTTAGTTGCAGCATGCGGGATCTAGTTCCCTGACCGGGCGTTGAACTGGGGCCCTGTGTACTGGGAGCTCGGAGTTTTCCCCACTGGACCACCAGGGGAGTCCCCTGACACCCAGGTTTTTGACTTGAGCACATTTATAATCTTGCCAGCTGTGGACATTATAATTTGTTTTCAGTTTAGGCAATTTAAAAGGCAGAAAAATGGTGTTTAGTGGGCATTCATCTGACTTAGAAATCATTGAACATGTTTTCATGCCAGTTAATAATATCTTACATCTGGTTATGCTTTTAATTGTTCAGAATATTTTATTGCTTTTATCTTATAGACAGTGATTCAGATTCATATTTATGACTACTATTTGCCAGGAAGTAGGTTATTTCCTTCCACATAAAATTGTTTTCAATTGATCCTTACAACAATCCTGACTGAGAAATATTACTGACCCCATTTAGAAGTGGGAATACTGAGACTCAGAGAGGTTAAGTCATTTTGTCCACCTGATAGAGTTGTCCTATAAACCCAGTCTTCTGACTATAAATCCAGCACTCCTTTTGCTTTACTAATTACTAACTAATTACTAACCTCATTTCACCAATATGTAAACTAAGGGCAGATTTTATGCTGTTTATGTAATGGCAGATAATCAGTTAGTATAATGTCTAACCTAATGCCTTAAGCATAGTAATACTTAGTAAGTATATCTCAAATTGAATTGACAGAGCCATGACTAGAATTCAGTTTCCTGTCTTTCAGCTAGATATTCTTATAAACCCTGTTTCATAAAATGGTTAGAGCATAAAATATTATAAACGAAAAATATCTGTCTTTGAAAATCATTTTAACAATAACCTAGGGACTTCCCTGGTGGCAGAGTGGTTAAGACTCCACGCTCCCAATGCAGGGGGCCTGGGTTCGATCCCTGGTCAGGGAACTAGATCCCACATGCATGTCGCCACTAAGAGTTTGCATGCCACAACTAAGGAGCCCGCCTGCCACAACTAAGACACAGCACAACCAAATAAATATTTTTTAAAAACCCCAAAAAACACTAACCTAAAGGGAAAACTTTTCTTCCAAGGACTTCGTCGTTCCGCCCATCTTCCTAACAAGACTATGGCTGACAACAGCAGTGATGAGTACGAAGAGGAAAATAACAAGGTGCAGTATAACCCACAGCTTCTTGTGAAATTTCTGCTTTGAATTTTTAGTGGTTAGTTTGAAATGACACTAGTTCAGTAGCAAACATTTCTTAAATACTCACCTCCAGTGATTGGGTTCCTTTGAGCTCGTGGAGGACAGTCACGAGCCAAGAGCATTAAGATTTTGACTCTCCTTCTGGAATAAAGCTTACTGTTATAGCTGATGTTTTGGTGAGAAATTTCATATAACACAGGCCAGTGTTTCACAAACTTTTCTAGTCATAATAATCAACTGGGGTACTTATTTAAAAAAAAAAAAGATAGGAATTCCCTGGTGGTCCAGTGGTTAGAACTCTGTGCTTCCACTGCAGGGGGCACGGGTTCGATCCCCTGGTCGGGGAACTAAGATCTCACATGCCACGTGGCACGGCCAATAAATAAATAATTTAAAAAAAAAATTTAGAAAAACATTTCCAGTCCCCACCCAGAACTGCCTAATCAGAATCTTGAAGGTAAAAGCCTGCAAATGTATATTTTGAGCAAGCACTCCAAGTCATTCTTATGATAAAGAAAGTTTGGAATGATTGATTGTGGCATTGGTTCACTGTCAACATTTGTGATACTTCTAGTATTTTGTGAAAGAGACTTCAGTTTTGAAGTCTTAAGGCCCAGATGTCACTTTGGTGTTATTCTATGAACCAAGAGAATCACCGTTTCTGGAAGTGGGATGAGAAGACGCCTTAAATTTGCACACGTGCACTGTCTAACAGCCCCTGTGTTTAGGCTTAGCACATGGTCCAATGGTTATGTTTTAATCGTCCTCCAAGAACAGGCGTTTTGAAAACTCAGGTGAAGGAGAATATTTGAAGTAATGCAGAAAGCTGTAGCAACAGAGACGGATTTCATAGAAAGTCTTAAAGGTCATGTTTTAAGATAGCCCCACTTTGTGACTAGTGTGCTGTTTGACATCTTACCTACAAAGTCATTTTTTGGCATCTTGTCTGTGGTATATAAAGTCTTCTCCCATAGGTCAGAGATTTTGCAAAGCACTACTTTGAAGAAGCAGACAAAAGAAAAGTGAACAATTTTCCTAAATTGACCTCCTAATTTTGTATATTCGCCCTAAATTTTTCTAGTTTTCATCATGATGTAGTCAATATTCAAGGCTCATTTATCTTTCCAATTTAATATGCACCCAGAATCAGCAGATAGGATCCACTTTTGAATAATCTTTGAGCTGACGATATTCTTAAAAATCTCTCCTTGCCAGACTGCTTCCCATGTGACAAAGAATAATTTGGGCAGATTTTGAATTAGGAAAGAACACTGGGAGATTCTTACCAACTGTATACGAATAAGGCATATTCTGCAACTGTGTCATCAGTCTCACATGTTACAGATTAGTTAAAATATATTTTTATCTATGTATAATAAATCTGTGTTATGCTTAGAGGAGAATGTAACCCAAAGAAGTTTTTGATGTCCTGTAATGTGTCACAGTTTTATATGTCAGTAGCTGCTTTAATGTAAAAGAAACATTAAATAATTTAAAAAACTAGAACCAATCATCTCTTAACCTCAGTGTAAGCCATATGGCATATGGAAACCAAGCTTGAAAAACCTATTTTTAAAGCGGGCCAATTGGCCACCCTTTAGGTCCTAAGTGAGGGCATGCCACAGGCTCCAGGCCCTAAAGTCAAAGACATGGACCCTGTCCCAGCTGCCCCGGCAAGCCCAAGCACCACCTTACCCCTTCTCGTCAGCTTGAGGGTGGGGTGGTGCATCTAGAACCAGAAGCCCAGAAAGGTAGGTCGTAATGCCAAGGACAGAAGAGTCTCTTATCTTGAGATATAATGTACAGTCATTGCATTTAACTTACGGGGGAAGGGAGGGGAACCATGCATAGGTTAGATACCCATTGAATGGAAAGGGAAAACACACAGTCTCCGGAACTGCTGGTCAGAATCCAGGCCCGGGGTTGATTATGAACTTTCTTCTTTTGATAGTTACAAGCAGCTTACCCTGGGCAGTCTTGCAAATTAAATACTAGATTTCCTCCCTGTGATCTCTGTGAGTATTAAGATTCCCTAAAGTGTGTCTTCCCTACTTCATCTTCCCCCATTTCTTCCCAAAATAACTATTATATTTAGAGTTGCTTTCTTCTTCAGAAGTCCCTCAGTTTTAGAGTTGAAGCTGACTGGATAAAGTTTATGCAGAGTTCTCAGAATCTCCTAAGCAATAGGTAAAAGAGATATGTATTGGATAAAATTTATACCCAAGCCTCGAGCAGAGGAAGAGACCATGGTTATAGAAAGTGGGGACTCAGTAGCTAAGGAGGAGCAGAAGAAGGTTCTCGAGGCCCTTCTTGGGAGTGCTTCCTTCTCTTTCCAGTGAATTGGTGTCAGGCGGGAGGGTTCTGGTTAGAGTACTAGGAGAGAACTGGGTAAAGGTATACTAAATTTCTCCTTACCTGGACCTTTCTATCTCCTGCCCTATCTCAGGAGAAAAAGAAGACCTCGCAGCCCACTCCTCAGCGGGGCTTTAGTGAAAACGATGACGACGACGATGATGACTCATCTGAAACTGATTCTGATGATGACGACGATGATGATGAAGAGCACGGGGCCCCTCTGGAAGGGTGAGAAAAGCTCCCTTGCCAAGGAGGGAAACGCCTCCTTCAAAACACTGGACAGGAGGACGTCAGTGAGAAGTGAAATTCCAGCAGCTCTTTTGATCTCCTCTATTTAGGATTATCAGATGCTCAGAAACCCAGTGTAATGAGTTTTCCTTCTTTTTCGGCTCTACTGCCCGAATCCTGTGATGTCACTTGCACTATTGGAAACACTTGTGGGCTCAGGGATTTCATGAGGATTTGCTGAGTCAGTTTAACTGATGGTCTCTGACTTCAAGGAGTTCACATTCTAGGGAAGAGAAGATAAATTTATACACATACCAAAGCATTTCTATTTAGCAAGGAAAACATGCATGCACAGGAACATTTCTATTTTAGGCTCAGACCCTTTTAGGACGGGTAGAGAATAGGTGCATCCGGAACCCTGTATTGAGGCAAAATGTTCCTGCATGATGCTTCAGTAAAAATTCTCCTCACCATATTCCAGCTCTGGTGCTAGATTAATCATGACCCACCCCTGTAGGTTTTAATCAGAGTAGATTCTAAAGCCCATTCATTTAAAATACAATTAACTGGTGTAGCCAATCAGTAGAATTCTTTCTAGCATTAAAAAGTATGAGGCAGCACTCTATGCACTGTAAAGAACAATCTCCAAGGGACACTGTTACGTTTTAAAAAGGTATAGAAGTCTTTATGCTGTGCTACCATGTGTATAAAACAGATGTTACATAAGCTATCTCTAGGCTGCCCTAGGAACTAATAATACTGATTACTCTTGGGAGGGGAACTTGGTGGTAAGGGAACAGGGGTGGAAGGGGACATAACTTTCCACTGAATACATTTTGTACCTTTTATTTCCTATCGTGTGCATGCATACTTTATTCAATGAAGTAGTTTAATAAAAATAAAAAGTTACCTTTGAATTATCCACCTGAAGGTAGACACTAAGTAAATTAGGCAAATGTTTAATACCAGACTGACTTTTCATGCTTCCCAGTTTACTTCATGATTCTGCTTCCATAAATTATAATCTGGGGAAATATAAACTATTTAGTTTTTTTGTTAAGCAACTCTTCCCAGAAGAACCTTAAGTAACTTTCCTAGTCACTTATATACTTTGTCAATTCATTACATTTTACTTAATTATAGTCATTGATATGTACTCTACTACTTTTTTACTGTATACATTTCATGTATTAATACAAATATTTTTAATAACTGCGATATTCATCTTGACATATCTAACCATCTCTCAAGTGTTGGACATTTTGTTTCTAATTTTTTACTTTTATAAATAACACTGAAAAACATCTTTGTAAAAATTCCTTTTTTTCTTGGGGTAAACCATTTTCATGTCAGAAATTAAGATCTCATTCCATCTTTTCTCTTCATCCCCTTCATTCAAAAAAAAAAAAGGGAAAACAATTTCTGCTACATTCTAAAATTTTTTTAAATTATGTTTTGGATTTTCTGTAGCTCTGTTCTTCATTGTCAGAGATAGCTGAGAGCTAATTATAATCACTTTTAAAGTTACCTTGCAAGCTGCTCAGAAAAGGCACATGTGGGTGAAGCAGAAACTAGGTCCAGAGTCATATGCCCTGTGGCCAGAGTAACACCCGGGCTGAACCAGGGCTCAGCAACCCCTGCTCTTCTCTGGCTACCTTGAACCACATTTTCCTTTCCCCAGTGCCTATGATCCTGCAGATTATGAGCATTTGCCAGTTTCTGCTGAGATTAAGGAACTCTTCCAGTACATCAGTAGGTGAGTACCAGGCCCTCCCACCATAATCCCCAGCCCTGCCTTGCCCTTTCCTTCCTCTAGTCTGAAACATGGCCATTCCCCTTAGGTTTTTTCAGCCTGAATAATAAAGTAAGTTTCTCTGACAGTTTCCACCTTCCCGTGGCAATATCTCCTAGGTATACACCTCAGTTGATTGACCTGGACCACAAACTGAAACCTTTCATTCCTGATTTTATCCCAGCTGTCGGGGATATTGATGCATTCTTAAAGGTACAGTCAGAACATCCTAAAACTGACTCCTTAGGTGTTTCTTCTGACCCCTCTATCACTCTAACAGTTCCACTAATTTCCCTGACTACCAATAGCTACCTTAATATATATTCTTCATTTCACTGGAGTTAACTTGCTCTCAACTCCAAATTATACTTATTGCTATTAGGTAATCATTGATTATCTCACTAGGTGTTAAAATTTGTCATATATCTGCCTCCTGGTTATCCATGACTTCAGCTTTATATCTAAGGTCCTATAGATCATGTATTTTTTTTCTAGGTAGTACTTTAGTACAGCATGATATATAGGCATGCTTTTTAATACTAGAAATAATGATGAACCAGAAGAGTTCTTCCTCTTCAGCTTATTGGAAGCAAGTGTACCTTTTTAGATCCCTCCCATGTTTTTTTTCTCTGCTTTCTTACCTTTCTCCTAACCAGGTTCCACGTCCTGATGGAAAGCCTGACAGCCTTGGCCTACTGGTATTGGATGAGCCTTCTACAAAGCAGTCGGACCCTACAGTGCTCTCACTTTGGTTAACAGAGAATTCCAAACAGCACAATGTCACAGTAAGATACTAGCCTAGCACAGGCCCCAGCTCCAGGGGGCCGAGAGTAGAAGCCTTGCTAGTATTTGAACAGTTGACTTACTGCCTATTAAAAGGGATGGCTATGGTTTCAACCAGGCCTGTTTTTTTCAGTAACAATTGTATTAAGATATAATTTACCTACCATGAAATTCACCCTTTTAAATTGTACAATTCAGTGACTTTTAGTATATTCACAGAGCTGTACAACCATCACCACTATTTAAGAACATTTTCATTATTCCAAAAAGAACCCCCTTGGGAATTCCCTGGTGGTCCAGTGGTTAGGACTCAGCACTTTCACAGTGGTGAGCCCGGGTTCAATCCCTGATGGGGGAACTAAGATCCCACAAGCTGTGAGGTGGGGCCAAAAACCTAAACAAAACAAAGAGAAACCCCATACCTGTTAGTAGTCACTCCTCTCCTCATTTCCCCTGCTCTTAAACCCTGGTCACTACTTCATTCCTTTTTTATGGCTGAATAATATTCCATTGTGTGGACATACCATATTTTGTCTATCCATTTACCAGTTGTTTCCATTTTTATTAATTCTGCATCTATGAATGTATACAAGTTGTTGCATGCACATATATTGTTGTCTTGCGTATATAGGTAGGAGTGGGATTGCTGAGCCATATGGAAACTGTTTAATATTTTGAGGAACTGTCAAACTGTTTTCCAGAGTGGCCGAATCATTTTACAATCCCACCAGCAATGAATTAGAGTTCCAATTTTTCCACATCCTCACCAACACTTGGTATTGTCTGTCTTTTTTATTCTAGCCATCCTAGTAGGTGTGAAATGGTATCTTATTGTGGTCATTCCTGTCCTATTGACCTGCCCCCTTCCCCTGGCTCCAGAAGATTTTATCAGGGTTTCCTATAATCTTCATTTGGCTCCTGGCAGGCTTCCCTTTTCAGCAGCTACCTTGAATACGACATAGCAGCATATGATGAGGCACTCTGTAAAAAACAAGAGTAAAAACATACTTCAGGGCTTCCCTGGTGGCACAGTGGTTGAGAGTCCGCCTGCCAATGCAGGGGACACGGGTTCGTGCCCTGGTCCGGGAAGATCCCACATGCCACGGAGCGGCTGGGCCCGTGAGCCATGGCCGCTGAGCCTGCGCGTCTGGAGCCTGTGCTCCGCAACGGGAGAGGCCACGAAAGTGAGGGGCCCGCGTACTGCAAAAAAAAAAACAACAACAACAGAAAAAACATCCTTCAGGGGCTTCCCTGGTGGCGCAGTGGTTAAGAATCCGCCTGCCAATGCAGGGGACACGGGCTCAAGCCCTGGTCCGGGAAGATCCCAGATGCCGCGGAGCAACTAAGCCCGTGTGCCACAACTACTGAGCCTGTCCTCTAGAACACGTGAGCCACAACTGCTAGAGCCCACGTGCCTAGAGCCCATGCTCTGCAACAAGAGAAGCCAACGGAATGAGAAACCTGTGCACCGCAACAAAAGAGTAGCCTCCACTTGCCGCAACTAGAGAAAGCCCACGCACAGCAACAAAGACCCAACACAGCCAAAAATAAATAAATAAATAAATTTATTAAAAAAAAAATTCTAGAAAAACAAAAAAAGAACATCCTTCAGTGCCATCAGCCAGGCTTTCCCCTTATTTTTCTAGCAACATATGAAAGTAAAGAGCCTGGAAGATGCAGAAAAGAATCCCAAAGCCATTGACACATGGATTGAGAGCATCTCTGAATTACACCGCTCCAAGCCCCCTGCGACTGTGCACTACACCAGGTAAGAAATAGTACATTCTTCACTGTAGTAACCCATGGTAACTTTCACCACCTGTGAAGCCATTGCTTCTGAGAAGGGGGTCCCAAGGCTGGGACATATTTGAGATATATCAACCTGAGGATCTATGGATCCTGGCTGCTACTGGCTAAGAGTACAGACATGAAGATTATGATTTATCTGGTATTATTACTTAGCCAGCTTCTCCAAACCCCAGGTGCTGGGTAAGTTTGGCCCACCCAGTCTATGTTCTCCTGAAATCCTAATGTGCCAGACTGAGAATCTCCCTTCAGTCTAGAATATCCTGATGCAGAGACTGCCGATACCTGCCCATGTCCTCTATTCACGTTTACCTCTGTACTTGTAGGCCTATGCCCGATATTGACATGCTGATGCAGGAATGGTCTCCAGAGTTTGAAGAGCTTTTGGGAAAGGTGAGTGGAAGGTAGCAGGAGCTCAGAAAGTGTGGCATTCATTCTAGGGCCCAGTGTTTTCTCTCTTCTTGTACTACTATTATCATTAACTTTTAAATTGAAATATAATACAAAATCAGAAACATACATATAAGTGTTGGTTAACTTTCACCAACTGAACACCTTTGTGTAACCAACACATCAGATCAAAAAAACAGAACATCTCTGGCATCCTGGAAGCCCCTCAGGCTTCCACCTCCCAACGGGACTATTTTCCTGACTTCTAATAGCACAGATTAGGTCTGCCTGGTTTTTTGTTTTTTTTTTGTTTGTTTGTTTTTTGGCCATGCCACATGGCTTGCGGGATCTCAGTTCCCCGACGACCAGATACTGAACCTGGAATCAGTGAAAGCCCGGAATCCTAACCACTAGGCCACCAGGGAACTCCCTAGGTTTGTCAGTTTTGTATTTTATCTAAATATAATCATGTTCCTTTGTGTCTTATTTGCTCATCTATATTGTTCATCCATATGGAGAGTCATCCATATTGTTCATACATCATGGTTATATATTTGTTCTCACAACTGTATGGTATTCCATTGTTTGAATATATCCATTCTGTGATAGCCATTTGGGTAGTTTCCAGTTTGGGGATATTACAAATTACTCTGTAATATTATTGCCCTACTACTATGAGTACATACCTTTTGATGAACATATGTACTTTTTGTATTATCACTTTAGACTCCACCTTTTCCACAGAGGTATATATGCTATTCTAAGAAGCTGAAGTCCTATTCATAATGATCCTAAATTTTTAAAAAGTGCCCAGGAATATATTTAATAAGAAATTGTCAAGACTTTTTTGAAAACCAATTATAAAACTTTAGTGAAGGGCAGACACAAGCTCTGAGTGAATGAGGAGTCAAGCCATGTTCCTGGAGGGGAGGGGTCAATCGCTCAGCACTGTCAGTCCTCCCCAGTTCACCGTGGAAATGGAAGGCCGTTTCAATTAGGATTTTAACTGCATTGTTTTAGAAACTGAAAATTCGGTAACAAAGTTTATCTGAGAGAATCAATTTTTAAGACTAATCATGAAAATTTTAGGGAAAAAATGAGGATTTGCCCTGTCAGACATTAGAAACACATTATAAAGCTGTAGTAAATAAAACAATAATGTACTGGTTAGGAATAGAAATAGATCAGCAGCACATAACAATCCAGAAACAAACCCATGTAAATGTAGAAATTTGTTGTATAAGAAAGATGGTTATTTTAAATGATTAGAGGGACTTCCCTGGCAGTCCAGTGGTTAAGATTCCGCACTTCCAATGCAGGGGGTGTGGCTTCGATCCCTGGTCGGGGAACAAATATCCCACGTGCTGCGTGGCCAAAAGAAAAAAAAGAAAAAACTAGTTGGGAATTAAATGATTAGAGATAGGATGGGTTGTGATGAGATGATTGACCAGCCATTTGAGAAAAATTAAATAGATCTAAGCCTCAACCATATGCATATAGGAATTCCAAATGAATTAAACAGTTAAAAATAAAACTATACAGGACTTGCCTGGCGGTCCAATGGTTAAGACTCCACGCTCTCAATGCAGGGGACACGGGTTCGAGCCCTGATTGTGGAACTAAGATCCCGCATGCCACGTGGTGCGGCCAAGAAGAAGAAAAGTTACTTACATATATATGTGATATTACTGTCCAAGCAAAAAGCTCTTACATATCAAGAAAAGAAAACTGAGCAAAGATGATAACAGGTCCTTCCTGGCCATGGTGCTTAAAATTGCTTCACCACGTTCCCCAAGCTCTTTCCCTGCTTTTTCTCCATGCTACTTACCTTCTAACATATTGTATACCTTACTAATTTTGTCTTTTGTTTCTCCCTACTAAAATATAAGCTCCAGGAAGACAGAGTTTTCGGTACATGTTTATTGAGAAATTGTTGTAAAAGCAAAAAATTTGAAAACAATCTCTTTTCTCACAGCATTTTAAAGCTATAGCTGAAGAAAACTGTTTGATTAGGGAATTGAATAGATAGATTGTAGTACATCCATTCAGTGAAATAAACAATGGAGTATCGTTTGGCCTTATTTTGCTCTGATACAGAGAAAATACCAATGACATGTTGTTACATGGAAAAAGGAAATTGCAGAACCATCTACTCTGATTTTTGTAAAAAGAGAACAAAAAATTTTTAAGAAGCCAGTGGTTTTTAAACTTACAATATTAGTTTAGATCTGGAGCCTGCTGAGATGTCATGTCATTTTTTTCTGTTCCTGTGGTGTCCAAGGACCATTAGGCCTTCCAACACCAAGTAACTATAAATACTTGGCCATAACTTGGGTCCAGTTTCTTCTTCACAAATACACACAGGAAGACTGCATGGCAGTATATTTTACTTATAAAATATTTTGGTCCTGTTATGTCATATGCTACTTTGGTGGTTAATGAGTATAACCATTTTACTGATCAGGGGGAAAAGAAAAGGCACATTGTATTATTTGCTAGGGCTGCCATAACAAAGTGCCACAGACTGGGTGGCTTAAGCAACAGAAATTTATTTTTTCACACTCTGGAAGCTAGAAGTTGGAGATCAAATTGTCAGCAGAGTTGATTTCTTTTAGACCCTTTCTCCTTGGCTGTCTCCTCCCTGTGTCTTCACATGGTCTTCCCTCTGTATGTGTGTAGGTCCTAATTTCCTCTTCTTATAAGGATTCCAGTCATACTGGATTAGGATTCACCCTAATGACCTCATTTTAACTTCTCTTTTTTACGACCATATCTGCAAATATAGGCACATGATCTGAGGCACTTAGAGGTTAGGACTTAAAACATATGAATTTTGGGGGAACACAATTCAGCCCATGTCACCCCTTATGCTCGGAGCTCTTTTGCTTCAGAGAGAGTGAGTGATGCTAGGACCACTGAAATTTCAGCCTTTTGACTCGGGTCCATCCCGTGCCCCTCCTAGGTGAGCCTGCCCACAGCAGAGACTGACTGCAGCCTGGCACAGTACATAGACATGATCTGTGGTGAGCCCTTCCATCCCTTCCTTGACCCCCATCTCTGGATAAAGTCATTGTGGGCTGTTGAAAAGGCTGGTTCACTCTGAGTTACAGCCTTTACTTTAAGCCCGTTGTGCTATTTGGCAGCACGCGAGGGTGGTATTTGGGTTTATGTGACTACCTGCTGGGTATTTAACCCCCAGAGTTATAGTCACACATCCCGTCTGGGAGGGGACTGGCCATCCTAAACAGAAATGCCCCATAGCTTCCGGATTTTTGTTTATTTCTGCTCACGGGAGTTCTTGATTTCAGCCATCCTAGACATCCCCATCTACAAGAGTCGGATTCAGTCCCTCCACCTGCTCTTTTCCCTCTACTCGGAATTCAAGAACTCACAGGTAAGACCAGCATTGGAGATTGACTTAAGCTGTAGTGAGGACTGCTGCTGTCGCCACTATTTTGGGTCTGCTGTGATTCTGTCCTGTGACAATGGAGAATGTCTCTGCCTGGAGTTACCATCACCCTTCCCCATAACGAAGGGAACTGCAAAGCAGGCAGGGGTGGGGCTTGTAAAGGAAGGGGAAGTAGAAGCAATGTGGGCCTTAGACAAGGCTAGGTAAGGATCTACAGTGGACACTCATTCTTACAGGAGAACCAAGTGGCCTAATGAATGGAAGCAGGAAGCAAGGTTAGTTCTTGCTAAAATGTAGTAACTAGTATGTCCTCAATCCTTCACGTACCCTCTCTCTCCTCACAGCATTTTAAAGCTCTAGCTGAAGGCAAGAAAGCATTCACCCCTCCATCCAACTCCACCTCCCAAGCAGGAGATGCAGAGACATTAACCTTCAGCTGAGACACCTCCCATGTCACTCTGTTTCAAGGCTGAGCTGGCTTCTCTGCCCCATCTGAGAAGGAGGGATCACTGTCAGCCACTTGGCGGCCTTGCCTGCCTCACAGCTTGATTCGGAGACAGCGCACGTCTTACTGTCCTCTCTGCCAGAAAGCACTGCCCATGGTCGTTAAATGGCTAATGCCTGTGTCAGAGTTCCTTCCCATGGAAATTAATTATGCATCTACACTACTGTGGGGATGTGAGTTAGAATCACTGGAATTCCTGGGATCCCAGGATGCTCAGGTTGGGAGGAAGGCTTAAAAGATGTTCTTTTGAGATAGCAATAGAATTATTTTCTTTCATTCTTAAAGTTAGTTGGCAAAGATTTTACAAATAAAATACTCTTATCTTTCAGGTTATCCTGCTCTCCTTGAAATATGAAAGAGAGAAGGCAGACTGAGCATAGGCAGAGATAAGGAACTTGGCCTAGGAATAGGCATTAAGTGAATAGCAGTTTAAGCAAATCAACTTTGTGAAATAAAATCAAACCCCAGTCCTCCAAGGTTGGCAATAGAGGGGAAACTTTTTTCTCCCAGAACTTATTTTTTCTGGGGGGTCTCCCACCAGGTAGTGCTACCTGCCTTACAGGCTACCTGCCTGTCTAGCTCCAGACCTGTCTGGTTGTGGTCTTAGGGAGCCTAGCTATTGCAGTCACCCAGGTGAGAGATGATGGTGTCTTGGACTGGGTGGTAGTGGTAGAGATGGACAGATTCAGGAAATATTTTGGAGGTTTTATCAGCTAAGCTCCAGTCAGAAACCATACTAGTTATTTCTAACAAAGGATGTTAATTTAAGTATGGGCAGTTGGTTACAAAAGTGTTGGAAGGGCTGAAGAAACAAAAGGGAGAATGGAGAGTGCTGAAGGAACAAGAGGCTAAAGGGGAGTGTCCACTGCTGGAAACAGAAGAGCTGCCACAGTGGCTGGGATGGCTGAGCAGGTCCGAGACCCTCACCCCTACTACAGCCACCCTGGGCAAGCGCTGCTGCCTCCTCTATCCCACCCTCTCCTAGCTTGCTGGTGCCTCCCACTGGCAGAAATTAACAGCTGGCAAGGGAATCTGGAAAATCGAGCAGCATAAAGTATAGAAGGGAAGGTGTGGGGTACGAGACAACAGATAAGCAACCAGGAGAGGTGGAACCAACAGAACTTAGTGATAGAGTGAATGTGGGGGAGGGAAGAGAAGAAAGGGCGACTCCCAGGTTCTCTGGCTTGAGCAGCTGGGCGGGTAATGGAGCCATGTACTGATATACGGGGCAAGAACTGATCGGAGGGGAAAATTACAGTAAGATGCTACAGCCTAATATATACCCGAGAAACACGAGACAGGAGGGGCATCGTTTCCTACAGACCCTTAAGCCAACTCTGATGTTCATCTCATGCTTGAACTTGAGCAGGAACATCTGAGCTCAGGCCTCACTTTGACACCATATTGGGACCAGGTGCTCTGCTCTCAGATGGATGCCATTAATGCTCACATTTCACTCAAGGAAAAAGAGAGGCAAAAACATGATAGGAACTCAGATTCTCCATCAGGTTTTCAGGGAACAATCAGACTGCCTTCTTTGGCTAGAACTGAGACTCAGCTCTAGTAAGTATAGTCGACTCTCGTTATTCACAGTAGCTATGTTCTATCAAGTCACCACAGACACCATTAGCAAATACTGGACCACTGCTCCTGGGGGAAATATAAGGTAAGGTTCCTGTGTGCCTCTGTCATAACATTGTCGTCAACAACCATTGATTCATTGAACTCACAGCCACCAGCACTGTAAGTCATGCCATAATGAAGCGTATCTAACGCACTCTCTCTGTAAGGCACATGACAGCCTTACTACACTTAGTTAACTCTAGCCAGCACCTCAGCACTATGCGGGTGGGGGCCATTTAATTTATTTATTTTCAAATATTTATTGTATTTATTTGGCTGCACATGTCTTAGTTGTGGCACGGGGGATGTTTTTTTTTTTTTTTCAGTTGTGGCATGTGGGATCTAGTTCCCTGACCAGGGATCGAACCCAGGCCCCCTGCATCAGGAGCATGGAGTCTTAGCCACTGGACCATCAGGGAAGTCCAGGGGGGCCATTTTAAACACTGAAACCACCACCAACAAGCAAGAAATGAGGCATTAGGTACACCTTGGATAGGGCACTCATTTAGAGTGTGAGAGCCGAAACCAGGAGGCAGGATGTCGCCTTGTTCAGCCTCAGCTGGGAAGGTACGTGTCGGGCGACTCACATTTTTCACTGCTCTAAGCATGTTTGCAAACGATTGTAAAAACACTGCAAGTATCGATTTTAGGATTACAGATACAGTTTAGTAAGTGAATTCGCAAATACAGAATCTGCAAATAATGAGGATCAGCTGCCTAAGTAACTGGCTAATGCGCAGGCCTGTAATGTTAGCCTGTCTCCCTACCCTAGCATGTCCACTGACCTGTCCAGTGAGCACTTCAGACACTGTTTCTATCGTGGGCTCCTCCTCCTCCACAATCTGAGGTTACTCTCTTTTGGCTACTTGATCTGTGGCCCTAGAAAAATAAGTTAACTTCTATGCCTCAGTTACTCTAGCTATGAAACAGTTACAATAAACACTAACTTAACTCCTAGGCTTGTCCTATGGGTGAAAATATGTGAAAAGATTAAATGCCACAAAATGTAAGATCTAATAATTATGTTACTAAGTACAAATTTTTCACTTGGCCTTTTAGACTTTCCATTTGGCTATTCTCTCCCTGCCCGAGATTCTCATTTTTCTAATTCCCCAGCGAAAACCGCAAAACCAGCCTGCTTGCCATGCTCTACACATGACTCATGAGTTCCCTCTTCTAACTAAACCTTTATGCAGTCTATTTTCCTGGCTTGAAGTGTCCCTCCCCTCTGCTATCCCAGGCTCTCTACATTTCTAAATAAATAAAACTTGAACACAAGTATTTACATTTGTATTCCCTCCTTTAACCTTCCTAAAAATGACAGTATAGGAATTTTTTTTTAAAGGTATAAACCAGCAAGGACAGATAATAGGAAAGAAAATGACTATAGACCAGAGAGCAATACAATTTTGAAAGATGGACAAGTGGTAACAGATTTAGTGGGCAGGGGGAGGGGAAAAAACCTGATACTTGATTTCCAGTAGAGGAGAGGGACAGAGAAACCAATAAGAAGTAAGCCATTTGACACTGCAGAATCCTGGAAAGGATCAGGAATCGAAAATGTCAGATATTTCTGATGGCATGTGTGCAGGGAGGGGCTGCAGACAGGAGGATTGGCTGAAGGTTTGTAGAAAGATGGGATCCCCAGAACCTTCCCTATCTGTGCTGCCCACCTCCTTACCCTGGCAGAACATAGTCCCCTTTAAACCAAGGCGCCTCTGGACATGAGAACACCAAGCAATTCTGAGGACAGGAATAAGGGGCCATATTTAAAATAAGAGGACAAAATAGAGGAATGAGCAATGAGACCCTCAGCCCTCTTCTGGCTTATCCCTCCAAAGCACAATATCGGAGGAGTCCTCCCTTGGGAAACTGATCAGCCAAAGAGAAAAGACCTAAAGATATTGACAGAGAGTCTTCAAGCTTATAGACTTACTTGGTACCCCCTACCTACCATCACCTTCCATTCAGCTTGCGGGTATCTCATTCTTGTGCATGTGTGTGTGTGTATGTGTGCGCAGGCATGCTTGCAACTCTCATTCTTAAATGTGAATGTACCGTCACCAGGCATTTGAAGAAAGCCAGAAAAAGACAAAAACAGAACAAAGGATATCAGAGAAGCAAAGCAGGCAAGATATGAAAAAAATTTTTTTAACTATAATATTCATAGAGCAGTAGTCCTCAAGTTTGGTTGCATGTTAGAATCAACTGGATATATATATATATATATTATTATTTTTAATATTTATTTATTTGGTGCACTGGGTCTTAGTTGCGGCATGTGAACTCTTAGTTGCGGCATGTGGGATCTAGTTCCCTGACCAGGGATCGAACCCAGGCCCCCGGAATTGGGAGTGCAGAGTTTTAGCCACTGGACCACCAGGGAAGTCCCAACTGGAGATTTTTTTTTTTTTTTTGCGGTACGCAGGCCTCTCACTGTTGCGGCCTCTCCTGTTGCGGAGCACAGGCTCCAGACGCGCAGGCTCAGCGGCCATGGCCCATGGGCCTAGCTGTTCCGCGGCACGTGGGATCCTCCCAGACCGGGGCACAAACCCGTGTCCCCTGCATCGGCAGGTGGACTCTCAACCACTGCACCACCAGGGAAGCCCTGGAGATATTTTAAAGATAAGTTTCCTCTCCCAGACAACACACCAGACTAATGAAATCACAATCTCTGGAGGTAGGATACAAGAATCCATATTTTTTAACTTCCTCAGATTATTTCAATATGCAGACAAATTTGAGAACCACTGTCAGAGATGAGAAGGTTCCATATCCATGAAATATTGGGCTGGCCATTGGGCTGGCCAAAAAGTTCATTCGGTTAGTGAATACATTGTTCAATAAAATTCTTGGTGAAAATGAAAAATGTGTGGGACTTCCCTGGTGGCGCAGTGGTTAAGAATTTGCCTGCCAATGCAGGGGACCTGGGTTCAAGCCCTGGGCCAGGAAGATCCCACATGCCGTGGAGCAACAAAGGCCGTGCACCACAACTACTGAGCCTGAGCTCTATAGCCTGCAAGCCACAACTACTGAGCCCATGTGCCACAACTACTGAAGCCCACGTGCCTAAAGCCCGTGCTCCAAAACGAGAAGCCACCGCAATGAGAAGCCTGCACACCACAACGAAGAGTAGCCCCCGCTCGCCGCAACTAGAGAAAGCCCACGCGCAGCAACGAAGACCCAACACAGCCAAAAATAAATACATACCTACATTTATTTTAAAATAAATACATACATGGGCTTCCCTGGTGGCGCAGTGGTTGAGAGTCCGCCTGCCGATGCAGGGGACGCGGGTTCGTGCCCCGGTCCAAGAAGATCCCACATGCCGCGGAGCGGCTGGGCCCATGAGCGATGGCCGCTGAGCCTGCGCATCCGGAGCCTGTGCTCCACAACGGGAGAGGCCACAACAGTGAGAGGCCCGCATACCGCAAAAAAACAAAAAAAACCCATACATTTCTTTTAAAATAAATAAATAAAAAATAAAAAAAAAAAAAGGTAAATAACAAAGTAATTTCTCAGACCACAATGGAATGAAGTTAGAAAACAATAAGGAGAACTGAAAAATTTTGTGTAAATTAAACAATACTCTCAACCAATGGGGCAAAGAAGAAATCACAAGGAAAATTAGAAAATACTTAGAGATAAATGAAAACAAAAACACAGCATTCCAAAACTTACAGGCTACAGCAAAAGCAGTGCTCAGAGGCAATTTATAGCTGTAATTGCTTACATTAAAAAAGGAAGACCTCACATAAGCAATCTGACTTCACAACCTGAGGAACTAGAAAAAGAACAAACTAAACTCAAAGCTAGCGGAAGGGGGACTTCCCTGGCAGTCCAGTGGTTAAGACTCCGCGCTTCCAACTCAGGGGGCGTGGGTTCGATCCCTGGTCAGGAAACTAAGATCCTACTTGCCACATGGCGCAGCCAAAAAAAAAAAAAAAAAAAAGAAGCTAGCAGAAGGAAGCAAATGATAAAGATTAGAGCAGAGATAAATGAAATAGAGAATAGAAAAACAATAGAGAAAATCAACAAAACCAAAAGTTGGTTCTTCAAACAGATTAACAGAATTGAAAAGCCTTTAGCCAATTGTCTAAGAAAGAGAGACTCAAATAACTCCAGCCAGAAATGGAAGTGGGGACAGTACTACCAATCCTACAGAAGTGAAAAAGAGCAGAGGGTACTATGAACAGTTGTATGCCAACAAACTGGATAGCCTAGATGAAATGGACAAATTCCTAGAAACACAAAACTTACCAATACTGAAAAAGAAAATTTGTAAGACCTATAATTAGAAGATTGAATCAGTAATCAAAATTTTTTTAAAAACCAAAGTAAAATACACAAAACATGAAATTTACCATTTTAACTATTTTTAAGTGTACAATCCAGGGGCATTCACATTGTTGGGCAACCATCACCACTGTCCAGCTTATGAACTTTTTCATCATCCCCAACTGAAACTCTGGACCCATTAAACAACGATTCCTTCCTTTCCCTCCCTCAGTCCCCAGTAACTTCTATTTTCTGTCTCTATGGATTTGCCTAGTCCAGGTACCACATAAGCTGAATCATACACAGTTTTTCCTTTTGTATCTGGCTTACTGCACGTAGCATAATGTTTTCAAGGTTCATCCATGTTGCAGCATGTGTCAGAATGGCCTTCCTTTTTAAAAAGCTGAATAATATTCCATCGTGTGTATATACCACATTTCCTTTATCCATTCATCTGTTAATGGACATTCGCATTTCCACCTTTTGGCTGCTGCAAATAACACTGCTGTTAATATTGGTGTACAAATAACTGTTAGAGTCCCTGCTTTCAGTTCTTTGGGGAATAAACCTAGAAGTGGAATTGCTGGATCTATAGGGTAATTCTATATTTAACTTTTTTTTTTTTTTTTTTGGCGGTACGTGGGGCTCTCACTGTTGTGGCCTCTCCCATTACGGAGCACAGGCTCCGGACGCGCAGGCTCAGCGGCCATGGCTCACAGGCCCAGCCGCTCCGCGGCATGTGGCATCTTCCCGGGCCGGGCACGAACCCGCGTCCCCTGCATCAGCAGGCGGACTCTCAACCACTGCGCCACCAGGGAAGCCCTATATTTAACTTTTTGAGGAACTGCCATACTAGCTTCCATAGTGGCTACACCATGTACATTCCCACCAGCAATGCACAAAGTTGAACATTAATTTTTACAAGTCTTGATTAAATAGTCTATTGTGTCTGGAGCAATTCAGTAAAACATAGTCCAGGTGGGAAAATGCAGCCTGAGCTGTGCCTGCCCAAAATGTTGGACTGCTGTATGTTCCAGCTAAAGGTAACTAGTGACCTGCCTATTATTGGAGAGTAAAGATTAAAGATTAGGTGAGTAAAGTATATAAAAATTGGGAAATTCCCTGGCGGTCCAGTGGTTAGGATGCCATGCTTTCACTGCTGAGGGCCCGGGTTCAATCCCTGGTTGGGGAACTAAGATCCCGCAAGCTGTACGGTGCAGCCAAAAATAAAAGATAAAAATTGGTCTTCTTTCCCAGGAAAGATTGAACTGTCATGTTAAGGGTATTAGTAATGCTTGAAAATTCCACGATCCTTAGATCAAAAAGATTTCAGAAATATCAGAGAAGTAACTAGATCAGGGATCCCCCCCCCGATATTTTATTATGAAAACTGTTAAATAAAAGAACTTTGGAAGAATTGTAGTGAATTCTAAATACTCACCAACTAAATCCTACAATTAACATTTTGCTTTATCACACGTCCATACCTCCCTATCCATTCGTCAGTCTATCTTATTTTTTGATACATTTCAAGTAAGTTGCAGACATCAGTACACTTCACCCTTAAACACTTCAGCATGCTGGAGAGGGTATAGAGAAAAAGGAACCCTCCTAGACTGTTGGTAGGAATGTAAACTGGTGCAGCCACTATGGAATACAGTATGGAGGTTCCTCAAAAAACTAAAAAGAGAGCTACCGTATGATCCAGCAGTCCCACTCCTGGGCACATATCCGGAAAAGACAAAAACTCTAATTCTAAAAGTTACATGCACCCCAGTGTTTATAGCAGCACAATTTACAATAGCCAAGACTTGAAAGTAACCTAAGTGTCCATCAACAGATGAATGGATAAAGAGGATGATACACACACACACACACACACACACTCACACAATGGAGTATTTCTCATCCATAAAATAGAATTAGGAGTTGGGGATTAAAAGATACACACTGGGCTTCCCTGGTGGCGCAGTGGTTGGGAGTCCGCCTGCCGATGCAGG